GGAAGCCCTGCCCCCCTTTCCCGGACCTGAAGCTCTCAGTCTTGCCTTCCGCCACCCGGAAGGTTTAGGCGCGGGCACTGCCCGGCGACCTGGCGGCCACGTGGGACCGGTACCCCTGGGAGGAGGGCGGAGCCGAGCGTGCACCAGCTGCGCACGTTCGATTCCTCCCTTCTCAGGTTTTTTAAAAATGCGTGTTTTTTTTATATACATATTTTTATTTCAGAGAGGAAGGAGAGGGAGAGAAACATCAATGATGAGAATCATGGATCAGCTGCCTCCTGCACGTCCACCCTGGGGATCCAGCCTGCAACCCGGGCATGTGCGGGTTCAGAGGCCGATGCCCAACCACTGAGCCACACCGGCCAGGCCAGCGCTGCGTCCTTGATGTCACCGTGCCAGCCGGGCTCAGGGCTTGTTTTCTCGAGGCCTGGCTGCCTGCCTGCCTTTCACTCCCCAGAAATCAAAATCTGTCCTTACACTCAGAATTGTCTTTCCCAAGTCGGGTGGGTCTGGGTGCCTTGCAGGGGGCGAAAGCGTAAGGAAGGCAAGGAAGGCAGAACGGGTGCGCTGGGACCGTCCCCGCGTCGCCATCAAGACAACGACACGCTTCTTTTTAAACCATTTATTCCTCTGTTTGGCCCAACAGGTCATGGAAACGGGGAATAATTATCGGTTAAAAAGTTCAGGTCGCCAGGGCCCCGTGCCCGCTATGCACCTTTGGGTTATGACAACATTTTCAAAATAAGGTTTCCCTTTTGTATGTAACAATGTAAACTTCAAAAAATAGTAAACTCTAAAGGCCGCCCCCCCCCCCCACCCTGGTCCCTCTTCCCGGGTCCATCACAGACAATTTCCACGCAGAGCGAAACGGCGCTGAAGCGTCGCATCGGAAGATGCACGGGTTCGGGAGGCCATGCTTCCATCTGGGCCCCGAAGCAGAAGCGACCCGGCGGCCCCCTCCTCCGTGGTCACAGCGCGACCCCCGCTGTCACACCGCCGTCAGCTCGGTCACTTCTGGACACACACACACACACGCCCATCACATGTGGTTTTATTGGATTTAAAGATGTGTACATCTCAACGATAAGACGATAAGACGGCGCCAGTGATGGGGAATGTCACTGGCTTCACATAGGCCAAGATGAAGTTTCTGTAGAAGGCACTGGAACGTCTCCGGTGGGGCCTCATACCGACACGCGAGAGCAAGCCAGCGAGCGGGGCTCAGGGGACTCCCCACCCCCCGCCCCCCGACATTACCCGGCTCAGGCCTGACCTCCTCCACCTGCCCCCCCTGCCCCCCGGCCCCCTGGCTCGTCATAGAGATGGCTTTCGATGTCCATTCTCCTTTTGTGTGTCCCCTCTTCCTGTCCGTCTGTCCATCCAAACTAACTTAATCATTCTGGTTCCTTGTGATCCCTTAAAAAATAAAGATTCCAGCTCTGGTCTGAAAGCAATGACTCCCACCGCCAGGGAGTTATCACAGTGTGCAATGGAGTTTTCGGTCGAGAAGACCCAGAACAGCCGCCTGCCTCAACCAGAACCTGAGGCCCCCAGACCGCCGGGGCCAGGATGGTTCCCACTCGCTTTACATTCATTTAAAAAGAGCTCAGATCTTCCCTCGTGCGCGTCGAGTCGGTACCTTAAGTGGAAGGTCTGATGTGGACAAGAGCAAGTGGGTTGGACATGCCCATGAGTCCCGTGGGACGTGCCCAGGGGACCCAGACTGTACAGGTATGTACACCTTTGCCCACCGAGGTGCCGCCAGGAACAGACCTCCGGACCCTTCACGCCAGCGTCCCCGCGTGTCCAGGGGACGGGTCAGCGGGCGAAGGAGGGCCGGGCCCTTCTCTTGTTCTGGGGGCCGGAGCCCGGGTCCCCGCTGCCCTCCACCGGCTCCTCCTTCTTCCGGACCTTGAGGCGGGTGAGCAGCTTGACCAGCCAGACGTCCCACTCCTCGGGCAGCAGCAGCAGGAGGAAGCCCAGGCCGATGATGACGATGGCAATGACCCGGACGCCGTTGAAGACGATGTTGGTGGTGTAGTGATCGACCACTGCGGGGGCAGAGAACGTGGTTACTCAACAAGAAGCCAGGCGCGAGAGGGACAAGGGGACAAAGTGGGTCCTCCCAGGGCGGCGGGCTGTGGGCGGGGAGCTGTCTTCTCCTGGCCCCAGAACCTTCCATATATATATAATTATTATTATTGATTTGAGAGGAAGGGAAAGGGAGAGAGAGATAGAAGCATCAATGATGAGAGAGAATCATGGATCGGCTGCCTCCTGCACGCCCCACACTGGGGATCAAGCCCACAACCCGGGCATGTGCCTTTGACCGGAGTCGAACCCGGGACCCTTCAGTCCACAAGCTGACGCTCTATCCACTGAGCCACACCGGCTAAGGCAGAACCTTTCTTACTTTGGTTCTGTGCCCAGTGGCAGGGGCTGCCTCAGGCACATCACCCTTCACTCCCTCTGGTGGGAGGCCTTGAACTTGTAGCGGATTCTCCCAACTCACCTCAGTTCAGACACGGATTTGTTAGGCAAATAGACAGGGGGCGGGCAAACATAGGTTGACAATTGTTCCTATGAAAAATAATACAATTGCCTGGACGGTGTGGCTCAGTGGTTGAGAGTCAGCTCATGAACTAGGAGATCATGGGTTCGATTCCCGATCAGGGCACATGCCCGGGTTTTGGGCTCGATCCCCAGTTGAGGGCGTGCAGGCGGCAGGCTATCAGTGATTCTCTCTCATCATTGATGTTTCTCTCTCTCCCTCCCTCTCCCTTAAAAGAAAAAGAAAAAAGAATACAATAATTACTAAATAATCACACAAGAATAAACTCTGTGTGACCTGCTCTCAACCGTAGGCCTACTCTGGCCCCACCCTGTATAAATAAACCAAAGCCTGACTGTGGCCACCTGTGGGTGTCAGGACAACGAACACACGATCGTTTATATTTCTGGTACTTTCTATGTTTTCTCCAACGACATGCTTTATTCTTAGAACTGAAGAGCATTATTTCATCCGTCATCTATGCACATCACCATGTTTTGAAGACCAAACTTGAACGGGACTTGTGCAGATAATAAATATAAATACTTGGTCCCTCCCAAAATGACAGAAGAGACAAGCAAGCTGGGGTGAGGCAGGCAGGCTCCGGATGGGCTCTGTGTGTGTGCGAGCGTGTGCGTGTCGATGAATGCGCATGCGTGCGTGTGTCTACAACCAAGCAGACACTCACCCGCGTTCACAGGCACACTGAGGACGATCCCGAGAGACATCAGGGTGGGGTAGGTGACAGCAATTCCGAAATTTAACACGACATTGAACGCTGAAACGGGAGAGTAAGAAGCGGTTATTCGTGACTGGCCCTGGCCGGCCTCCGTGGGCTCTGTCTGACCCCAGCTCCTCGGATCACTGCCCTCGGCTCTGACCCCTGAACTCGGGGAGGTGGGGGGTAGGGGGGGGCCCTCTGGGATGTGGGGATTAAGGACAACTTTCCTGATGACTCAGCTCCCCTCCTTCCCTGAAGAAGGAAGAGAAATGTAGTCAAGGTGACCAGTGAGAAGGCGCCAGAGACGAGGACGGGTCTCTGCACCCTTTGTTCCCCACCTGGCTGACAGGGACGCGGGGCTGCCTGTGTGAGCAGGGGTCCTGGGGTCTGCATTTTTATGTCTTATTTTTAAACATATTTATATTGATTTCAGAGAGGAAGGGAGAGGGAGGGAGAGAGAGAAACATCCATGATGCGAATCACGGATTGGCTGCCACCTGTCCGCCCCACACTAGGGATTGAGCCCACATCTGGGCCATGTGCCCTGATTGGGAATCGAACCGTGACCTCCTGGTTCCTAGGTCGGCCATCTGAGCCACGCTGGCCGGGCCGGGGGCTGCATTTT